GAAAAAAGTTAGAGATAAGTACGATAGACTTTTGATAGGAACAAACTGCATCAGAGCATCCACCAAACAGTCACTAGTATTATGTGAGTATACTAGATATTTTGGATAACGCTTCGGCTTTTGCCGTTTTAAAAATGCGCTTACAAGTTTCTATAAAACAATATGGAGGAAGGGGGTAGTGAAGGGGGGGGGGTGCAGGTGGTGGTTAGAGAGCACTGTAGGCACAGTTTTGTTTGTGCACCATCATTACGTTCTTCTTTTCTTTTTCTTTTACTTTTTTCCTTCATTTTTGAGGGGTGAGGTGGTGTGGGGGAGGTAACAATTAGAGTCAATGTTCTTCACCTTCAGTCAGACATGAGCCAGTAAGAGAATTGCACATAAACCTGAAATCCTCTTTTGGTCTTTTGGTTTCGCTTTATAAATGTAAAATAATAGTAAGTAAGCTATTTGTTTGTAAGTACTGCCCCTTAAGTAAACTAAAAACAGTCGGTGCAGGGGCAGGGGGGAGTTTCTCAACTTCTTTATTATTGGTAGTCAAATGGGTTGACCCCTCCCCTCACCCCCACCCCCCATCCCAGTCCCCTGCTTTCCTCTTTCTCCCTCGAAATATAAAGCTAAACAGTTAACAGGCAGCAGGTTCTATACAATAATTACAGGTGTATAATATTCAAGAAAAGTATACGCCCCGATGTAAAATTCCTTGAAAGAAAAGAAAGTGGTGAAGGGCTGTGCAGAACGTGCTAGATGCCTCTTTTATACCAACATTATTTCCAGAGTCTTCGGTCTCATCAAGTTTTATTGTTTCGCAAAGTGGTTCTCACAATCGTTCCCTAGGATATATACAAATAACTCTCTTTCTATCTGACCTGTTTCGTCTTAACCTCTTTACTGTTTGAAGAGACCTCACAAAAGGGATGCGCAGTTTTAACTACAGGTGTTGACATAATTATTATACTTAATAACTAAGTTAGTCAAAACAATTCTAAAATCGTCATCTTTACAATAATGTTATAACGTTTAAAATAACAGCTGTTCTCACAGAGCGACAGCCGCTAAGTTTGAATTGTTCAATAGCATTTATTATTTTTTTAAAATTGTTTTTGAAAACCAAATCTTGTTGTTAAATTTGAAGTATACACTCATCCCTTCCCTC